CCAGTGTTTATGGACAAACCGACCGATTTAGCGACCTTGTTTACGCATGACACCGTGGACTGTAGATGCCGAAGTCCTTACTGGCCCGGAGTTTCGGACATGTGCTTAAACGCACCCTCGAAAACGGTCAGAATTGTCTCGAGGCACTGGGAATCGGCATTTCAAACACTTCGGAGATAAACATTTGGCACGGGAGAGGAAGCGACCAAAAGACAATTCCCCCCTCCCCCGACAAGAAATACAAGAAACATTTATTCTATCCAGTTAAAAATGGCGGCCTAACCGAAGAGCACCGACAGAGGCTTAACCACCCTCCATCGGGGTGGCGACTCATAAGGCACTCAAGTAAAATGCCCACCAAACATCCCGCAAAGTGTCGAGGCAGCGAATAGAAAAATTGACCAGGCCGCGGCCGAGAAACAGGTAACGGCACGCCACTTCGCCTTCTATTCAATTAAGTACATTCGACGCGGTGACAATCATGAGTCGACCAAGATCTCCGAACGTCAGCCTTTCCACAAACCTGTCTTAGCCTTTATTATTTTTAAACTTATCAGCTCGGATGTCTCAACTTTCCCAAATTATTTCAAACTGTTCAAAAGGGTATTTTGGTGAAAGAGCAGACTTACTTTGGCTGCGAAAGGAGGGTATGAGTGAACTTACCTTCATAGCCACCGTGCCAGTGTACTGCCGACTCAACGCATCACCATTGTTTGCCCACAGGCCCTGCAACATGCGATGGAACATGAGGGGCAGATCCTCGTCAATTGACAACAGGCCCAACTTTCGCAACTGAAAAAAAGAGGCAAGCCAAGACACTAGAGTCTCCGATTCGATGGGAGACGGCGCGCGGGGGGAGGGGTGAAGGCATATAAATCGCGTTCGAAACGGCGACGAGCTTTTGGGTTGGGATTCCACTATCGAAAGGGCTGTGACCTTTTGCATTGCCTCGCCATCAAAAGAGACATAATTCAGCCGTAAAAGGATAAAAAATGAAATATACCGGTAAACGGCGGAGAGGGTTGCCTCCGTAAGTGACGTCACTGCCTCGCTGGCAGAGACGAGACTTCCCTTTTTACGAAGAATTTCAAGGGAATCAGGCTGCTACAATACCTGTGCGCTCGAGGAATCGCGTCTTTACCGCAATTACAACAGGAAAAGCGCATGTGATAGAAGCAAATATGCGAGATCCAGGCAGCAGTCCAGAAGAAGAAGATGCGATCACTGGAAGAACTTTATTTACCTGATGTTTCGGATTCTGTCATGTATCTTTAATAATAGTTGCGCACAGGCCAGAAGCAACCATCAGGCGTCGGGTCATGAGACCGAAATTGCCACGGCAGAAAACTGCCAGATCTGGTGCAATCGTGGACAAAGCAACTACGTCGGAGTAACTGGGAGATTGCTCCGGACGCGGACGGCCGAGCATGCAGCGGCGGTGAAGAGGAAAGACGCTAACTCCCAGGTCGCAGCTCACTCGACGG